CGCCCACATGTTGCGCGGACTGTTAGAGACTTCTGTTCAGCACAACGCATGCAACTTCTTCCTTGGCCTGCTTATTCGCCGGATATGTCGCCTATTGAGCACGTGTGGGATATGGTTGGTCGGCGTCTCACTCGTGATCCGCGTCCTGCAGTTTCCAAAGACGAACTTTGGTTGCGCATACAAGCGATATGGAATTCTCTTCCTCAAGCAGATATTCAACATCTGTTTGACTCCATGCCACGTCGTATAGCAGCACTTATTGCAGCGCGTGGTGGCTGCACCAAATACTGATTTCGGACGCTTAATTTGTTTCTTTTGTTTTGAAAATTTCATCATTTATTTGTATCAGTACAAGTCGTTTCTGCATTAAATTTCATTTGATTCTGATGATTCTTTCATGGTGTTGCATTTTCTACAAACAGCAGTTTATAAAGGGTTAAGGGAGATGGAACGTGTTTTTTTATATTGTTACCTTCTGAAAAAACTATGACTGAAAATAAATAATTTCAATAAGGTATAATAATATCAGTAACAGCTAAATAATACAATTTTTCATCTCATTATCCGAGCTAGGAAAGGGGTGCATAATAATTGTGCGCGATATGTTTTATGCTCACAAGCACTGTTTGTAATTAATGGATAGCTTGATCTCTATAGTGGTAGCTCACTAATTTTAAACAGAAACCAAAACTTGGCGTTATAAACTGTGTGCTATAAATTTCTATTTTTTTTGTTCTGTTTTATACTATTTTTTTTGTTCTGTTTTATACTTAAGATTTATACATTGTATTTAGTCCGTGTGTATTGTCTAACGAATATATTCCCAATAGACTACATAAATTAAAGAAAAATTGACAAAAAAATGCTTCATCTTACGGGAGTAGGGTCATTAAAAAATAAACGGAGAAATTGCATTCTATTAAATAATAATTTTTTTTACCTCAATATATAATGCACATAAAAACTCATCTTGAACATAAGATTAAGTTTAAATATAAACTTCAAATTATTCTCTGCGTTATTCTTTGAGTACATCGTAAAATTATTTTAATGGTTGTGTTGAATGGAACAAAGTTTTTCTCGTAAAGAAATAGGCACCAAAAAATCGTATTTCTTCCTCTAAAAAGAAATAAAAATTGTTCTCAGGATGTACAGGAAGTGTTGAGAAAACATGAATTTGTTGTTGAGACTGTTTTTTTTAGGATAAACTTTTATGCCAAGGAAAGTTATTTCATCGAGTTAATCAACTTAAAATAGATCAAAAAAGATCAACTGCTCCTAGTTGTCTTATTCTTCAGTTAAACTATAAAATTTTTTTTTTAAAGAAATAAATAGCTTGTCCACATAGAATAGCTGTCCCGCAAGACAGAAAAAATACATTTTTCAGGAACTTTCCGACCGATTTTGCATTTTGCCATGCAAAAGTATATTCCTTAAAATGATGCAAAAAATTTATTCCTCGTAATACTCCTTATACAGTATACATTACTTTACAATATACCTTATAATATTATTCATTATTATTATTAATTATGTCTTATAATATAAAATGTTTTCGACCATTTTTAAGAAAATAATAAATATTTACTAAAAGCTATTTTTTGCAGGGAATTAATTACCTTTAGATAAAGAAATTTTATAATTGTGTGTAAACATTTTTCAATTCACTGAAAAAGCTCTTGAGATATAGCAAACTATTGAGACCATATTTCCCAGATTGCGGCTACCCTCTCTCTATTTTTTTTTGGGGGGGGGGAGGGGTCAAAAATTCGTTGAAACAATTGTATGTTTATTGAAAGAAAGTATGATTTTGTGCCTTACTGCGTTACTTAAAATATCGTCGACACTTATTAATTAGCATATTTGAAGTCATCACCTTGAGCCATTAAGATTGAGTCCCAGAACGTAAAAATCTGATCGTTAGATCAAAAGATATTCACGGCGTAATTCTTTAGCTCATTGTGCACTATTGAAGAATAATTATTTAAAAGCGTAGTTTATGAATTCAAATAAATAATTGATACTGTAAATCTTTTAAAGAAAATATCTTATGATACCAAGAAAATATTATCAGAGAAATTTTATTATGTTAAAATCTTTTTCAAGCACCGGACCTTTTCTTCCA